ACAGACACACAAATATCATACCCCCAAGACATGCTAACCTCTCACCATTACAGTAACAGTGGAGGTTATCATTCTTTGGGGAGGGGTATGATATTTCTCCTATAGTACACAATCAGCTCCTTGGTCTTACTGACGTTGAAGGAGAGGTTGTTGTCCTGGCACCACACTGCTAAGTCTCTGACCTCTGTAATGATAATAAGAAAAATACATGGGACTTACAGTATATAGCGCTTTTCAAGGACCCAAAGTCGCTTTACAATTGTAGAAATGAAAAGAAAAACAAAAAAACAGAATTGAAAACAAATCAGACTAAACAAAAACATGAATAAAGAGAGGGGTGGGCTCAAAGGGAAAAAGTGTGATGTATCAGTGTATGGGGAGGGTAGGGTTGGTTTTTGGATATGAACCCAGTTTAGGGTACGGGTAGGATAAAGGTTTTGGGTTAGGTGCTGCTCTGTATGGTGAAGAGAGGAGTGGTGAGGGGGGGGGGGAGGGGGGGGGCTTAAGGGTAGGCCACATGGGGCCGGCCCGTCGGAAAGTCCTTGATCCAGTTGCAGAGGGAGGTGTTCAGTCCCAGGATCCTTAGCTTGGTGATGAGCTTGGAAGGGACTATGGTGTTGAATACTGAGCTGTAGTTAATGAACATCATTCTTACATAGTTATTTCCCCTCTTGTCCAGGTGGGAGAGGGCAGTGTGGAGTGCAGTTGATTGCATCTGTGGATTTGTTGGGGCGGTATGCGAATTGGAGAGGGTCCAGGGTGTCTGGGATGATAGTGTTGATGTGTGTCATGACCAGCCTTTCAAAGCACTTCATAATTATAGATGTGAGTGTCTACAGGGCGAGTCATTTAGGCAGCTTACCTTGGACCTTTTGGGAAAAGGGACAATGGTGGTCAGCTTGAAACATGTTGAGATTAAGGACTGGGACAACGAGAGATTGAAAATGTACGTGAAGACACTTGCCAGCTGGTCTGCGTATGCTTCGAAAACGCGCCCTGGTATTCTGTATGGCCGGCGACCTTGTGATTGTTAACCTGTTTAAACATTTTGTCACATCGGCCACAGAGAGCGAGATCACACAGTCATCTGGAAAAACGGGGTCTTTCACACAAGTCACAGTGTTGTATTCCTCGAAGCCAGCAGAAAAGGGCATTTAGATCATTTGGGAGTTCTGCGTCCCTGAGCAACTCTTGGCGGGGTTAACCTTTGTAATCCGTTATCATCTGCAAGCCCTGCCACATACGACGAGCGTCATAGCCAGTGTACTCGCAAACTTATTGACACATCACCCATCACTCTGGACCCAGGAACCTGTCTTCACCTAGCAACCAAACAGACCAGGGCCTTGTTTCCCGATAGCGATGGAACTTAGGCTTACGAGTGTTAACGATGCATCTATCCTACAACAGCCGAAGATGTAACATAAGTTTCCCAAAACATCACGCAGAGAGAATGTTCGCTAAGTGCGTCGATGAGGCATGTGTCGATACTGATAGGATCAAAAGAAAGGCAACGCTGCTCTTGGATCAGCTTTCTCCATTCAGATCTTACCTTAACATTAGAATTATTCCACAATACTGATTACGGCTAAGCTCCTAGGAAGATCTATCACCTATGGCTGCAAATATTGAGGCAACTTATTCTAATCTAATGCTTACCCTATAATAATGCACTAAATCAAGATTTGTCACATCATTGCACACGTTAGGCTACACACGTAAGCTATACAAATAAATAAAAAGAGTCGCACCAACGTTTCGGCATCACTCTGCCTTCTTCAGGGTAATGTCATGAATGCTTGAACCAGGTTATATAAACAACCAGTGCAATTGGTGCAACCAATGACAATAGTGAGGGGTGTGTCATAATTATTAGGTTGATTATAATTAATTGAGTGAAACTGTTAAAAGACAATAGTTTAGAGCATGTTGAATATAATAGGCTATTGTTATCATATGGCAACATATTTAGATATTGTACATAATATTAGCATCAACATACATTATTGTTTAATTTAATTTCACATATATATTTAATTGTTTCCAATTTCATTGAATTTTTGTTACATGTAATCTTTTGGTTCAACCATAATGCATAATAAACATAATCAACAGGGGGAACATATTGGGTGTATGCTGATAAGCTGTAGAAAGAATACATTCATTTATAAGACTTGTTAATAAAAAAGAGAATTGTTCATAAGAAGGGCCTGAGATCAAAGTCAATATTCAGGCCACTAGGGGTCAATGTTTTTAAATAGGATATCCAGTAGGCCTCCCTCTGTAGTAGTAGGGTATCGATGTTACCTCCTCTCCTTGGTTTAGCAACATGCTCAATACTTGTGTATTTGAGGGAGGAGATGGGATGGTTAGTTTCAACAAAGTGGGCTGCTACTGGATAGTCAGTGTTCTTACACCTGATTGAGCTGTGGTGTTCAGCTATGCATTGTTTTAATTGTCTTGTCATTTATCCTATGTAGGCTTTCCCACATGGACAGGTGATGAGATAGATTACTCCCTTTGTCTTGCATGAAGCATCATTTTATACGTCGCTGGTTTGTATCTATTGCAAAGACATTGGTAACTTTGTATTTGTAGTCAACTTTGTTCTGAAGTTATTGGTGGTCAGAGAGAGGTGGATAAATAATGTGATTCTATGTTTAGTGGAGCTCTTCTGTGAATAAAGTGACAAGGAAGGGCAAAAAAACTAAGCATCTGGCGATGCACTTAACTGTTCTATGAGTGGTCTGAGGCAGGTGTTAGATTACGAGCGTTTTCAAGTCAAATCAAATCAAATGTATTGGTCGCATACACACATTTTGCACACATATTGTATATGATGGTGTGTATAGACAGTATGGACAGCATATGAATAGAAAAGTTGTGTACAGCAGTAGTTATATAAGATGAGCCTTGACTAGAATACACTATATACATATGAAGTGCGTAAAACAGTATGTAAACATTATTAAAGTGACCAGTGTTCAATGACTATGTACATAGGACAGCATTCTATAAGGTGCAGGGTTGAGTACCAGGTGGTAACCGGCTAGTAACAGTGACTAAGTTCAGGATAGGGAACTGGTCGGAGGCCAGCTAGTGGTGACTATTTAACTGATGGCCTGGAGATAGAAGCTGTTTTTCAGTCTCTCGGTCCCAGCTTTTAGCAGTTTTTAAGCTAATTTCCTACAATTCTACGCATTTTGACATGGCTAATGCTGTGTTATTCCCAAACATGTTATCAAAATCAATGGGGGCTGATTGTCTAGCTTTTATTGTGTTGATTGTAAATTCTGAAAAATTATAGGCTATTATTGGAAATAAGTCCTTTATATTTTCAAAAAAATATATATTTGGTTTTAGTGGTTTAAGTTTACACTAAAAGCATTTTTCTATCCCCAAAATGTATCTCCCCCCCCCACCCCACCGGTCTAGGGTGTTGGGTAAGGTGGAGGTGATATGATCCTTAACTAGCCTCTCAAAGCACTTCATGATGAGGTCAAGAAAAAAAAGTGCACCATTGAAATGAGTGATTACTGGGGTAAAGGCAGTGGTGAAGATGAATCAGCCGAAGGGGAATATTCCCGGGGTCTGTGCATTTGCATATTTCCATTGGGGAACGCCTACTCTGTGAAGTGCAGGTGTGCAATAAGTCAATTAGCCTTTGCACTCCTAAACAACTACATTTTTTGAAACTTTGGAAAAGGGTAACGTCTACAAAACTTAGTCCACTCTATTCGTAACAGATTGTAGTTTTGGGAACAGAAAACTGTATTGAGATCAAATGTTTCATTGATGAGTAAATTAGCAGAATGTCGCCAAAATCCATCTCGTTCCATCTTTTCCCACTGCCGGCCACTGGGCTTCCTCTCACTACCATATTTGGTAGTGAGTGGAAACGCCAACCGGATGCTTCACATTTATACAGCCGGTGAAATATCTGTCTTATTGTTCTATCTGTGATTTAACTGCAGAAGAGTTACAGGGGGTATTGAATGGTAGTGTCCTGTCCTCCCAGGCCGGTGGCCTGGTGTAGGATCAGATAGGGCCACAATAGTGGAATGGAATGGTGGGCTTTTTAATGAGTGTAAGGTTAGTTGGTAGGGTATTCACATAGTGCAGGAATGTGGGGTGGAAGTCAGGAAATGTATTACAGATCATCTGGCTGTATATACGGAGGAGCTGATGGCCATACTGTTGGCCTTGCAGTGGGTGGAGGAAGTCAAACAAGACAGAGTAGTTATTTGCTCTGATTCATGTGCAGTGTTAATGAGTCTCCCGTCCTTTAGCTCACGTCTCAGACAAGCTCAGACAAGACCTGCTTTATGAGGTGCTACAAACCCATAGCAGGATTAAACAGATGGGTATACAGATAAGATTTACTTGGGTCCCAGCCCATGTGGGGGTGGAGGGGAACGAGGCAGTAGATGAATTGGCTAAACAAGCACTTAGTAGTGGGGATGTTGATGTTGACATTTCAATAAGCAAGGCAGAGGCAAAAAGACTGATATATACAGTGATGGTGCAGAGATGACAGGAGCAGTGGAATAGAGATAATAAGGGAAGGCATTTATTCAAGTACAGAGGAAAGTCTGGGAGGGGAGGATGGCAGGAAGGGACAGAAGAGAGGAGGCTATTTTTTACAAGATTAAGGGTGGGACACAGCCAGTTGAATAAGACATGAAATGTATATAGGAACGCAACCAACAGGAAAGTGTGATTATTGTCAGGAAACAGAGACCGTGGAGCATGTATTGCTACAGTGTGGGCAGTATCAGAGGGAACGAGAGAGGATGAGATCTAGTATGAGGGGGAAGGGGATACAGGAAATTAGTTTAAGGAGTATATTGAGTAGAACGTCATTAGATATAGTCTCAAATATTTTGTTATCTTTTTTAAGAGCAACGGGGCTGGCAGGTAGGATTTAGTTTATCCCTGTCTCTGGTCCACACTCCAGTACAGTAGGTGGCGGTAATGCACCATAACGTTGGATGCTAACCGCCGATAAACCCCACTGAAGAAGAAGAACCAGAAGGAAAAGAAGGAGTGGCAACAAAAACGTCGACTTGCTATTGCTAGACAGTTGGCTTTTGAAGAAAGCGTAGAGACTATTTGAACAATAAGTTAAGAATTTTCTAAATACCATAGCAGATAATTATTGGAAATTGTTATAGAAAGTGCCATGCACGCAAACACGGTAGTTAACTGATCAAGCTAACGTTAGCTAATTAGCCAGGCTAGATATCTCGCAGGTTCCATCCATTACCAGCTAATGTTAGTTAAGTAGCTAACGTTAACTTAGTGGTGTCTGTCTTTCCACGTCAACACAGTGTGATTTCGACAAGTGGATATTGCGAGAAGTTCATCCGTTTAGGTGGGGAACTTTACAGTACAGAACAAGCAAACAAACCAATCCAGGAAATCGTGTGCTGCTGCTCGTTACGGGAAAATAAGACGTCATGCTGCCCTCAAAAGACGTCTGTTGGTCCTTGACAATATGGATGGTACACCTTGCTTTCATGGTTGTCACTGTTAAAGGTAAGGTCAACTAGAATCATTTATATTTCTATGCAACTCACCCTGTCTACGGTCGGTGGTTTGAAGCTTATACCGTCTATGGTTTTAAGGTTTTTGACTCCTGCATTTGGCTGCCTTGGTCTTTAACATGAACTCTCCCACATATTTCAGCTCAAGAATGCTCCAAACCCATAGGAAAGCCCAACATGGTTTTGACAAAATCCTTCATCACCAAAGAGACATTTGGAGACGGAACAGATGCTAATTTTGAGTGTGAAATTGGATATGTCCGTAAAGGAGGGTCTCGATCAGTCACCTGTACTGCTGGCGTTTGGAGTGAAGTGAAACTGACATGCGAAAGTAATTCCAATAATTGTATTTATTATTGTGGGGAAAACTTTATATATTCATAGCCCATCCATAAAACTCAGTGAAATACTATCCTAAGCCTAGCCTGGAATCTGGACCTGTTTTGTGCAAAACATTCTACTCCTTGCCACTACATGTCATATGCCAATATGTTTGGCATATGACATGGAGTGGCATGTTAGCACAAAACAAGTCTGTATTCCAAGCTAGCCTACATTTCCTCTGTACATGAGTCTGACTAGTATTCTTCATGGTTTTCAGAAAAGACATGTGGCTCCCCGGGAGAAGTGGAGAACGGCATTTTTAGTCTCAATGGAGGGATTCTGTTTGGTGCCAAAGCTTCTGTTACCTGTGACACTGGGTCAGTGCAAGGCTGTTTGCTTCCCCCTGCCCACTCGTTCTTTCTTGCGCGCGTGCTCTCGCTCTTTAATAGGGCTGAACTGAGTGCTTTAACATGTCAACTGTCATGTTTCACAAAGCAGTCAATTTGCAGGCCTAATTTTGTGATTTCCAAATAGGCCTTAATCAAACTTTTCCTCCCTAAAAGCTAAAGGAAATGTTTGTAATGCTTAGCGTATGAACTACCTTTACTATCATGATCAGATGTGAACAGTATGTTGTAACTCCTTGCTATTCCAAAACTGTCTCATATTGTGTAATCTTTCTCAGCTATACGCTTGTGGGCAGCAGTGTAAGGAACTGTTTGGACGAAGGCTGGGATGGCAGAGTTCCTGTATGTGAAGGTTAGTCATCTGAAGGAGCATGTCAAGTTAAAATAACAATAACTTCAACAGTTCTATGCTTGTGCCCAGATCAAAACTGTTCATAACTGCTGTTGTGCTCTACTCTGCAGTGGTGAAGTGTGGAAAGCCCCCCACCATTGTCAAGGGTGGACCTGTTATCCCACCTGAAGATGAGTACAGCTATGGAAGTGTTGTGGAATATAGCTGTGAGAATGATTACACTCTGGTTGGAACTAGATCCATAGCCTGTGACAAGGACGGAGAATTCCAGCCAGCTCCACCTGAGTGTAAAGGTACGTTGGAAGCTTGCCTTTTTTCCCCTTCATTGTTTTAAACAGTCATAATTATGGTTGTTGACAAAACATAGAACTGTTCACATGAACTGCTCACACTGGTAAGATCTATTTGGGATTCCACTTTCTTCCTCCACCACACAATCATGATCAAGGTCAGGGTCCAGATGACCTCTTCTAAAAAATAATTTAAAAAAAAACGTTTAAATATCTATTATCTAACCTGATTAAAAAATAACATAAACAGAGATGTGCATGGGACATTGGCTAATAGAGCAGTCTAAAACATGGTTTATGTGTACTGTGGGCCTATTCTAAAAACCATGATGCAACATTGAGCTCAGAGGAAGTGGGTTACAAAAAATCTAGCGTATTTATTGAAAGCCTAGTTCCAGAATACATAAATAAGTTGTTATAGCAAAATTGTGATAATATTGCCTTCAAATAGCCTAACACTAATGAGAAACTTGGGCCCGCCATGTTCACAACAGTATCTAATGAACATCTCTCTTTGTTTACATCTGTAGAGGTTTCATGTCCTACTCCTTTTGTTGAGAATGGCGTTAGGACTGAAGGTCGTCTACCCCCCTACACGCACAAGTCTTTTGTGACGTATAAGTGCAAAGATGGATATGAGATGGAGGGAATGGCCAGTTTGACCTGTGAAATAGAAGGCTGGTCAGCTCCTGATCCCAAATGCAAAGGTAAGACTTGTTTCAGTGTTTGTTATTTAACACACTTTAGCCTATATTTTATTTTGTGTGTCATTTGGTGTTTAGGACCAGAAGACCAATGTGTCAGGGTCAATTCAAAAAGTCAGTTTTCTATCTCATATAAACATATTGAGACTATTTTGATAACACAAGATGGTATGTGTGGTAGGCCTAGTCTTCATGCTAATCATGATGGTATGCCAATTTGTGCGCATTCATTGTTTCATACGTTTATTGTGTGAAGTGTTTGCGTTTTATTTTTAATGTCTATCAATTCCCCATTACAAATATGTACATTTACCATAAAATCCTATAATTTATAATCTACAATGTTTGGTTACGGTAATGTCTGTTAATTACCGTAACCTCCCGAGTGGTGCAGTGGTCTAAGGCACTGCATCGCAGTGCTAGCTGTGCCACTAGAGATCCTGGTTCGAATCCAGTCTTTGATCTTATCCAGACGCTCTGGATAAGAGCGTCTGCTAAATGACTAAAAATTTAAACAATTATTATTCCAGTCTTTTACCGTTCTCATTGTCAAGGTGGACATGTTTTTTGCAGAGCGCACAACCTGTTACACTTATGAGAAACAAGTTTTGGTTTATTTCATTTCAATTTACGAGTTTTGTCAATTTAGTCATTGTCTTTTGTTTGGAGCTCTCCTGTCAATGTTGAGTAAGAGGATGCACACCTGATTATGCATAGAAGTAGGCCTATAGGCTACCTGGCCTGTGCACAAATGTAGGCATATAAAAGTGCCTATTTGGGGATCTGATAGTATTTCTGATTGGCTTAATGCACCACCACTAATGAGCTGTGGAGCTTCTCAAAGTAATGTTTTCACCTCAAACAGCAAGCAAACACAGTCTGTTTTTACATCCATTGAGAATGACAATAGTTCCTCAATGTATTTGAAAAATCTTTCCAGCTCTCTCCCTTGCGATAACCACTCAGCGTTAAAGTGAACAATGTCATGCTCTGATCCAGTGGAAATGTCATAAAATAGGCCTACCTGAATACTTCTTATCCCTTGCGCAAATAGCCTACAGCTGTGTCTGTCCAGAGCTCACTAGTGCAGGAAACTGAGGACCCAGAATATTTTATACAATGTTGCAAGGAGCTTCAGGCCAGACCCAAGATAATAGTTGATACAATGTTTCAAGTTTGTTGCAGACAGGCCATGCTTAGCCAATGTGATTTATAGTATATTTCTTTTTTATCAGGATATTTTCTACCTGCAGGCTGCAATGTTTTTATTTGTTGGCTTTAAATCAAATCAAATCACATTTTATGTCACATGCGCCGAATTCAACAGGTGTAGACCTTACAGTGAAATGCTTACTTACAAGCCCTTAACCAACAATGCAGTTTTAAGAAAAATAAGTGTTAAGTAAAAAAATTAAGAATAATAATTAGAGAGCAGCAGTAAAATAACAGTAGCGAGTCTATATACATGGGGTACCGGTACAGAGTCAATGTGCGGGGGCACAGGTTAGTCGAGGTAATTGAGGGAATATGCACATGTAGGTAGAGTTAAAGTGACTATGCATAGATAATAAACAGAGTAGCAGCAGTGTAAAAGAGGGGGTGGGGGGGAACAATGCAAATAGTCCGGGTAGCCATTTGATTAGCTGTTCAGGAGTCTTATGGCTTGGGGGTAGAAGCTGTTAAGAAGACTTTTGGACCTAGACTTGGCGCTCCGGTACCGCTTACTGTGTGGTAGCAGAGAGAACAGTCTATGACTAGGGTGTCTGGAGTCTTTTTGACAATTTCTAGGGCCTTCCTCTGACACCGCCTGGTATAGAGGTCCTGGATGGCAGGAAGCTTGGCCCCAGTGATGTACTGGGCCGTACACACTACCCTCTGTAGTGCCTTGCGGTCGGAGGCCGAGCATTTGCCATACCAGGCAGTGATGCAACCAGTCAGGATGCTCTCGATGGTGCAGCTGTATAACTTTTTGAGGATCTGAGGACCCATGCCAAATCGTTTCAGTCTCCTAAGGGGGAATAGGCTTTGTCGTGCCCCCTTCACGACTGTCTTGGTGTGTTTGGACCATGATAGTTTGTTGGTGATGTGGACACCAAGGAACTTGAAGTGCTCAACCTGCTCCACTACAGCCCCGTCGATGAGAATGGGGGCATGCTCGGTCCTCTTCTTTCTCCTGTAGTCCACAATCATCTCCTTTGTCTTGATCACGTTGAGGGAGAGGTTGTTATCCTGGCACCACACGGCCAGGTCTGACGACCTCCCTATAGGCTGTCTCATCGTTGTCGGTGATCAGGCCTACCACTGTTGTGTCGTCGGCAAACTTAATGTTGGTGTCGTGCCTGGACATGCAGTTATTGGTGAACAGGGAGTACAGGAGGGGACTGAGCAGGCACCCCTGAGAGGCTCCCGTGTTGAGGATCAGTGTGGCAGTGTTGTTACCTACCCTTACCACCTGGGGGCGGCCCGTCAGGAAGTCCAGGATCCAGTTGCAGAGGGAGGTGTTTATTCCCAGGGTCCTTAGCTTAGTGATGAGCTTTGAGGGCACTATGGTGTTGAACGCTGAGCTGTAGTCAATTAATAGCATTCTCACGTAGGTGTTCCATTTGTCCAGGTGGGAAAGGGCAGTGTGGAGTGCAATAGAGAGAGCATCATCTGTGGATGCAAATTGGAGTGGGTCTAAGGTTTCTGGGATAATGGTGTTGATGTGAGCCATGACCAGCCTTTCAAAGCACTTCATGGCTACAGACATAAGTGCTACGGGTTGGTAGTCATTTAGGCAGGTTACCTTGGTGTTCTTGGGCACAGGGACTATGGTGGTCTGCTTGAAACATGTTGGTATTACAGACACAGTCAGGGACAGGTTGAAAATGTCAGTGAAGACACTTGCAAGTTGGTCAGCGCATGCTCGGAGTACACATCCTGGTAATCCGTCTGGCCCTGCGGCCTTGTGAATGTTGACCTGTTTAAAGGTCTTACTCACATCGGCTACGGAGAGCGTGATCACACAATCATCCAGAACAGCTGATGCTCTCATGCATGCTTCAGTGTTGCTTGCCTCGAAGCGAGCATAGAAGTAATTTAGCATGTCTGGTAGGCTCGTGTCACTGGGGAGTTCATGGCTGTGCTTCCCTTTGTAGTCTGTAATAGTTTGCAAGCCCTGCCACATCCGACGAGCGTCGGAGCCGGTGTAGTACGATTCAATCTTAGTCCTGTATTGACGCTTTGCCTGTTTGATGGTTTGTCGGAGGGCATAGCGGGATTTCTTATAAGCGTCAAAATTTTATTTTTACATATTTGGCAATGGCAATAATGTTACTTTTTAGGTTTGTATAATTTTCATTTAGATTTGGATAGAATTTTGATTAACCACATGACAATGATTTTGAGATACGAAGATGTTATTATAAATGAAATGAAACTGTTCCTTGAAAATGTGCATATGAAAACCATAACTGGCACGCAGATCGGTAGAAATGGTAAGATTAAATTGGAATTCCACATGAGAAAGTTTGCAGACTCCTCTTGTAGCCTATTACTGGCAACTTCAGGAGAGTAACGGCAGAATTTCCGAAAGCCAGTAGGAGCGGAAGGAGGATTGTCGGGACAGGTTACGTTTTTTTTCTCTTCTGGTTATCTTGATCTCTGGCTCCCTCTTGGGTCATTTGTGTGTTATTTCATCAAACAGTGAGTTTGAAGCATCATACAAGCTCAATGCAAATATAGTTGATTTTATTAAAACACAAGGTGTTGCTATATATGGAAAAATATAAGTTTTAAATTTGATTGGTCGAAAGAACCGACGACTTTCGGTCAACCAAGATATTGGTCGGGGACAGCCCTAATGCTTTTAGTATAAAAATTGGTTACTATTAAAGATAAACTGGTGTTCAAGTTCAACCTGTGATCCATTCAAACAACCCCATGGTCTAGTGAGCTGCTTACCTTCCATTGAGGTCAGCTGCCTTTACACTTTTATTAGTGATTGATTAGCCATCTTGTCCAAGACCATTCTGTTCCTCAGACCACACTGGCTGACTAAAGCATTTGAGGGATCACAACAGTAAAGTGTTGTGACAGACTAGACAAGAATAGTTACTGCCCTAATTGATTTGCATGCCTTTTATAGCCCTTCCGACTACAACAAAGCCCCCTACTACTATTACTACAGCTACTCGCAAAGAGAAACACAATCTAGGAGTCCATTTTGATATTGCTTGACACAATCCTAATCAAATTTGTATATAATATAGTGTAGCAATGGCTTTGATTCTGACCCCTCATGTTCTTCTCCATAGCTTTACCTAGTCTACAGGAAATCAGAGTCTGTTAACTCCAGACACTCTGTACTGTTCGGCCGCGACCGGAAGACTCATGGGCGGTGCACAATTGGCCCAGCGTCGTCCAGGGTAGAGGAGGGAAATGGCCGGCAGGGATGTAGCTCAGTCGATTCCCATAGGGGGCCAGTATAAAAATAAAATAATAAAAAAATAAAAAATGTATTCACTAACTGTAAGTCGCTCTGGATAAGAGCGTCTGCTAAATGACTCAAATGTAATGTAAATGTACAGCTGAATAACCTAAATTCACATGTGATGATAGGGAGAAAATATTATGCTAACACTTTGGCACCTAACACCTAGGGCTGGCACAATTACAGTGTAACTGGTGGTTATGGATGAAGACCGTCATGCAAATAAAATAACCGGCATAACCGAGAGAAATAAAATATTTTTTTTTGTGTGGAACGAATAGCTGACTGAAGATGGGACAGCCGGGCATTAGTGCAGTTGAGTTAGCTTTGGCCTTAACATGAGCTCTTCACAACGTGATGAAACTTTGTTTATCCTTGCTGAAACAAGCAAACGGGTCTTCGGTTGCCTGGGCAACACTGCACACATATGCAGCACGCATAGAAATAGAATGAATAGAACGGACTTGAACCCTCAAACCCTGGCAATTTGACTGGTGAACTGATGGGAACACTCGCAATGGCTGCCTGGTATTGTGATGCAATAAT